GCCCTTGAACGGAAATCTCAGAAGGAAACCATAAGGTATTTTAAACAAGAATAAAAGAGGGCCATCTGCTTAGGTGTCTGGACGTGGGACAAGAGGGGTGAGGCGAGAGAGAAACACACCACTGTGTGAATATAGCCAAGTATTCCATTTATTAACAAAATAAGTCTTACCAAGGGAGAGCTCTATTCAGCCCAAACAGGCCCCGCAGCCCCCTCACGGCTGCATGAGACCAGGAGGGAGGGAAGGTGTGGGGAGAAGACCCAGGGCCCAAGAGTCTCCGATCCCAGTCCCTGAGGGGCCCACGGAACCCCACGGCCAACTGTGGGGACTCTGTGGGGTCAGGCCTGGGAGGGGGCGCCCGGACGGCTGTGATCTGTGTGCTCCCTGACTCCCCAGCCTCCCCCCAGCAGAGCTAGTAAGGTTGCACTGCCTGCAGATACTGCCACTGGTCTCCTTTGCGTGGGTTCTAGGAAGTCACTGACCCCACCCCACCCCCGGAAGAGGGGCTGCCCCGATAACAGAGAAGCCATGACTATAAAACCGCTTCGCAAAATATAAAGAGCAAAGTTTCATGCCAGCAGGGCCTTCTAGGACGTTCAGTTGAGTATGATGAGCCAGCCCTACAGGTCCTCCACCCAGAGGACAGTGCTGACCCTGGGCTGCACGGTGCTGGGAAGAGCGCAGAAGGTAGAAAGGCTCTTCCGGAGGCCACTCGGACCCCTCTCTCAGGGAAGCTGCTGGTGGGGTTGGCGCTTTCTGTGTTCAGAGCAAGTTAGGGGGGAGCAAGGCTCTAATTTTGGGGGCCAAGGTGCAGACCAAGGACCCTAGGAAGAGAGGGTTGCGGTGCAGGAGTCACAGAGCAGAGTTTCGGTTCAACAGAATGAAAAAGCTCCCACCACCAAGGCCGCACCCTGCCACCACACCCACAAATGAATTACAAAAAAATATCTCCTCTCTGTTACTTGTACAAAGGGAAAAACAGAACTTTGAATGGAAGGAAACGGGAGGGAATGAAGGGGAGAGAGGGGAAAAGAGAAGGGGAAAGTAGTTTTAACGGTTAAGAAGCATGCAAGAAACTCCCCAGGAAGGGTAAACAAACAAATGGAAGTACCCCAGAAACCCAAATCTCCCTCCTTCCCTGAAACCAAACCAATCAATGAAAAAAAAAAAAAAAAGTATTCCTATGTAGGAAAATCTGAAATGCTGAAGAACTTGTGAGCCAGATGAGCACAAGAGAAAAAATAACCCTGAAGTGACTTAAAAAATATCACTGGACTTGAAACCCAAATCTCCCTCCTTCCCTGAAACCAAACCAAAAAAAAAAAAAAAAAAAAAAAAAAGCAAAAGGAAAAAAAATTTAAATTTACATCTAAGAAAATGAAAAAAAAATAAAAGGAAGAGGGGCGGGGAACATGTAGTTATTTGTGATTAATATTATTATTTGGGGGAACACAGACTTTTTGCATACCATTGACTCGTGTGGGCCGTTAATGCACTTATATTCCCAGCTTGTAAGCTAACATTATAGTAAATAAATACACAGTCCGGTAGGGAGGGTCTGGGCGGGAATCCCGGCAGGGACAAGCAGTAGAGGAGGTTGCAGCGGCCAGGCGGTGGGGGAAAGGGAGGCGAAGGCGGAAGGGGAGCAGGGCTGGGGCGGGACGAAGAGCTGTGGTTACTGGTATCCGAGCGCGGAGGCTGAGGCTAGTCTCTGTCCGTACAGCGCATACGGTGAGTAGTAGGGTCCGGCTGTGGGCAGGGACGGCATGGCCAAGCCCCCAGCTGTGGATAAGTGGCTCTTGCCATAGGGGTGGTACCGGCTTAGCCCCAAAGTGTGTGGACTCCGCAATGACAGCGACCCGGGGCTGCCCGGGGCGGTGGGCGGGGGGAGGTGCAGGTGGCAGGAGGCGGCGGCCGCGGCAGCTGCAGCTGCGCTGCCCAGGCCCGAAGCCCCAGGATAGGTGGCCAGAAGTTTCTCCGCACCCGGCAGGGCTGTGTGGGTCCGTAAGTGGCTGAGCAGCTCCTCCGAGGTGGCGAAGCGCTTGTCGCATGGCCCGCTGGCCGCCACCCAGTTGCAGCTGTGCGGCAGCGGTTCGTTCTGCAGCATGAAACCGTAGGTGTAGAGCGGGTGGCCGGGGAGTGCGGCCTGGGCAGCGCTGGACGAGAGCGCGGCGGGCTGCAGCGGGTGCCCTGGATACACCAGAGGGTAGCCCCCCGCCTTCAGGCTGGGCCCGGCCGGGTCGTGCGCGCTGCAAGTGGAGCAGCTGGAGCCGCCGAGGTGCGAGGCGCTGTGGTAACCTCCCAGGCAGTAGGGGTCGCGGCATAATCCCTGCAGGAAGGAGGGCGGGGAGGCCCCCGTGAGCGGGCTGGAGCTGGGGGGCTTGCCAGGTGGCAGGCCCAGGCCCCCCGAAAGCTGGCCTCCCACAAGGCCAGACTTGCTAGGATCCAGGCCAGGCACGAACTGGGACGGGTAGCCGGCGTAGGCGCCCACGATGGAGCCGTGGTAGCCGATGCTGGTGGGGGGCAGCGGGAATACCGAGTGGCCCGGTTTGTAGGGTGACACGGGCGCCACGTGGCCCGCCCCCACCAGCGCGGAGGGCGGCTCGGACTTGCGCCCGGAGGCCCCGGCCTCGACACCGCCGCCGTGAGCGCCGGGCTCCCCACTGCCGCCGCGGCTCATGGTTGCAGCCTCCGGGCTGGGCTTGGGCTCCTGGTCCTTCTTGTCCAGCTCCCCGCCGCCATTCTTGCAGTCAGAGTGGTGCGGGGAGCCGCCCCGAGAGCCACCGGGCGACGACGAGGACGACGCCGCGGAGACCGGCGCCCCATGCGGGGGAAAGGGTGTGCAGGCGGCGCTGGGGACTCTGAAGCCCGACTTGTCTCCCGGGGACAAGGAGGAGGAGGAGGCCGTGGAGGACACGGAGGAGGGGCCACTGTCCTTGCGGGCGTCGCCGCCGCCGGCCCCCTTGGAGTAGGGCTTGAAGCTGGACTTGTCCTCGGCAGGGGAGTCCCCCAGCTGCTTGAGGGCCGCAGACGCGGAGGCGGCGCGGCCGGGGTCCTTCTCCGCTCCCAGCCCGTTGGCCGCCGCCGCCGCCGCCGCCACCGCGTTGAGCTTGGACGAGGGCGGCGGGTCCGGTTTGCCGATCTGCGAGCAAGTCTGGGCCAGCAGCGCCAAAGGGCTCTTCTTGGCGTCCAGCTGTGGGAGACAGCGGCAAGGGGGGGAGAAGGGGTGAGACTGCGAGGCGGACGGAGCCAGCGGGGGTGCCCGCGGAACACGGCGGCGGGGCTGTGCGGGGAGGCCTGGGGGTGAGGGTCTGGGCGCGAGCCCGCTGGGCGGAACCGCGCTCACGGGGCGCGTCGCTGGGAGACCCCTCGCCCCGCCAGGCCCCGGAGGGAGCCCCAGGCCCTGGGGAAGGTGCAGTGGAGGGGAGTAGTCCACCGCAGGAGAAGGGGACTTCTCCGAAGTCGGGGCTGGGGGAGGGGCTGTGTCTCGCCCCCTTCCCTCCAATCTTACCCCCTCCTCTACTCCCAGGGAAAAACTTATTCCATCAGTTGGGGGAACTTCGCTTGGGACGGGTTTCTGGCGGTGGCGCCGCGGGGTAGCAGCGGGGACAGGCGCCTCCTGAAGCGAGGGCTGCCGTTGGCGCTCAGTAGCCCCTCCCTCCCTCCCGGGGAGGGCACCCAGGGAAGTGGGAGGAAGACCTGGTATCGAGAGCGCCTGGGCGTAGTGCTCCCGAACCGGATGGGGCAGAGGCGGAGTGGGGCCCGGGCGACCCGGACTTCAAAGAGAACAAACCCGGCGGTGGGGGTGGGCGGGAAAGGCGCAGGAGCGATCTCCGGCTTGGGAACTGGGTGCCGGGCGAAAAGTAAAGCACCCAGTGGAGACTCCAGGAGCAAACCCAATCCGAGAAAGAACACGTAGCTCCGAAGGGCGAGCGTGGAAGGGGAACCTTCCACGGAGAAGCCTGGGGGGAGCCGGGTGGACTCCGATCTCCCGGCCTCCTTACCCCGTACGCCAGCGTGGCCGGACCTGAGGTCGCACCGTGCCCCGGGGCGCAGGAAGTAGGGCCGCGGGCCCGGCGGTACTGGGCGGATTGGGGTCGGTGCTGGGCGGGCAGAGACCAGTAGACTGACCTCAATGGGGCTGACGGGAGTGGAGGACAGCGGCTGCAGGTACTCCGGGTGCAGGAGGTGGCCGGTGTGAGCGCTCAGCATCTTCAGGACCCTGATAGGGAGCCGGTTCGCCTGGCGCAGGGGATCCGCCGGGGGCAAGAGGGACACCGCCGCCGGCACCGCCGTCCTCTTCCCGCCGCCGCCGCTGCCGCTGCTTTCGGGTGTCCTTGGGTTAGATCCAGCGGGCGAATCGCTCATTTGGAGGAGGCAGCGCCACTGGGGGGGGCGGGGAGGGCGGGGGAGCACCGGGGAGGCGAGCTCCCGGGGCGGGTGGGCTCGCTCCGCAGCGTCGAGTGCGGTGCAGCAGTAGCTGCGCCTCCACCCCTCCTCCACCGCCGCCGCTGGCCCCGGCGAGCTACACAAAAACCTTCGTCTTCCGCGAGCAGCACGTCAAATAGCCGCGATCGGCAGCCACACTTCAAAGGGATCACCGCGCCCGCCCAATCGCAGCTCTCGCCGGGACCCCGGGGCGGGGAGAGCGGCGGGCGGAGGCCGGCGCCGCCGGTGGGCGGGGAGAGCCTTAAAGGGGCCTCGTCCGCGCGCCGCCGCCGCCTCGGCCTTTACCAGCCGCGGTACTCCTCCCCTCCCCCCACCGGGCCGTCCGGGCCCGGGGGTCCCCGAGAGGTGGGGGACTGCTCGGGGCCCCGGGCTCTGCGCCCTAGCCTCCGCTGCCTTCCCTGTCGCGTCTCTCCCCCTCTCCCTCCGCACAGCCAGGAGTGGTGCTGGCGGGGGTAGTCACCCGCCGGCCGTGCTGTCTGGGTGGGGTGGCTTGGGGTGGGGTGGGGCGGTGACAGGAGCGCGCGCCGCCGGCTCCGGCACTGCCGAGTCCCCGCCTCTCCCGGAGGCCGCCGGGTGCGGGTGGCACCTCCAGGGCCCCAGCCGCTCTGGCCCTACGGCTCTGCTCCGGTCCAGCTCTCTTCCCCTAGAGGGCTTCTCCCGGATGTGCTCTCTTGGAAGCGCCCGAGCCTCGGAGGCATCCACGGTTCTCGGTGCGCGGCGTAAGCCGCTCCAACTACTTTGAGCCTGTCCTGTCCGCAGCCTGCAAGTTCGAGGAGTCCCTTCCGGGGTGAGATGGTCGCGATGAAGCGCGGTTTCCTCGGCTGTGCGCGCCACCCGGACGCGCCTGGAGCGCAGAGCCTGCGCACTGATTTATAGGTTCGGTGTTTTGGATGTGTTTAGTATTTCTTTCCATGCCCTGTTCTGAGGCATAAAATCCCCTCGCCGCACCGCGCCTAGCTGCTATTTTTGGGGGACCCGGGATCACTGGAGAGGCCAGTATCCTAGAGGAAGGGGATCTCCTCTTGAGTGCTGCACGTCGGTACAAACTCCAGAGATGCGCTATCCCCACTCCCCTCCCCCCTCACCATTTTCCTGTCGCGGGGAAAAAAATGCACTAGCTTTTCCTAGGGAAATTTAGGAATACAAACTTTTTATTAAAAATAACTGGCCCTCTCTACCCTCCTCTACTCCCCGCCTCCACCCCCGCGCCTTTTGGATAAAGTGTGCATTGCAGATTATTTTACATAGTCATAGTACTGACATTAAAGTTCCCAGTCCGCTGATCAGGAGGTGAAGCTGCTCCTTTGTGCGCAGCCTCTGGGGAGACCACCTCTCCGTGCGCTCTCGGCGGCCAGTGGAGGCGCGCTGGTGTCGCCGCCTCGCTTGGAGTACCGCTTTCCCAGCCCCTATCCATCACTCTGATTGTCAGGCCTGTCACTCGGGGCTTCTTGCTCCAGGACTACCCGTCCCTTACTCCGTCGCGTTCATCTACGCCTTGAGACAACATGAGAACTCAAGATGAGGATAGGCGATTTCAGAGGGGTTCTTCAAACACACAAATAACTATCCCAGAAATAATAAATAGCAATCACAAACCTTTATCATGCTCAGGAAAGAGGATAGCAGGCACTACTCCCAGGCCCTATCAGTCATATACTAAACTAAATCTGCTCCCTGGATAATATCTCACTGGGTAACTATTTACATTTTTTTTTTACAAGCTGTAAAAAAAAAATACTGTTTTCTGGGCAGTATGTACAGACCTTGTAGAAATTACATAGGCTTTCCCTACCTCAATTTTAATCCTAGTAAAATCAGGGTAAAACGAATGCCAAGGGCTGCCCTGACTGGGGGATGTCTTCCATACTGCAGCAAGAAGAGGGGGAGATCCCATTTATTTTATTGTGGTGGTCTCTATCCCCACCGTCCCCAGCTCTTCTCATGCCAGCCTCTGTGTTCTGACGTCACTACCCTTACCACCAGCACATTTAAAAGTCCACTGGAGGGCTGCTTCAACCTTCAAGGCCTTTGGGAGGCTGCTCTACAGAAAGAAAACTCTGGAATGGGACAACGAGGGCCTTGGCAGGCACCTTCAAGGAGGAAGGGCTGGGAAGAGGGGAGGCCTAGGGAACAGTGAAAGATGAAAGGCTCCTTCTGGATCATTGTAACCAACTCAGCTGGGAGAGCTGGCCAGGAACTCCTTCTAGGACCCAAGCAGATGTGGGTTAGGAATGATTAATGGGGATTCAGTTGGGAGCAAAGCAGAGGGGAAGAGAGAGAAAAGGCAAATCTAGGAATTTGGAAGGAAAAGAGGGACAGGAGGTGGGGATTTCAAAAGGAGAGGGGGAGAAGGCAGGAAAAGGACGAAGGAATATTTGCTCTCTTGTTAATGGGGATAAGAGAAGAAAAAGGTAGTGAATGATTGAAGGACTGAGACAGGAGGAGATGAGGCCAGACTCTGGGTGGAGGGTGAGGAATCTGTCTAGGTAATAATGTATTGTCCTTTAAAAGATACCCACTGCCTTAGCTCACAGCAGCGATCACTTATAGAAGCTGGGTGCCAGACAGCACTGGGGTGGAGACCAGGCCTGGTTCCCCTTCCTGGAAACTGCTAGCAAGGCAGTAGGGAGGCTCTTCCTTCCTGCTACTATCACCTTAAGAGAGAAATTGGAAAACCATACTTAGCCAGGCCAGAGGCCTATTAAACACTTCTGGATGATGATTACAATCAGTATTTGGTGTTGGTTTAGCTGAAACACTAATCTATGCAGTCGTAAACGGGGCCCTAGTAGCCTAAAGCAAGGACAATTTGCAAAGGAATGGCTTGTCACCTGGAAGGGAATGAGGCTCTGTGTTCAGCTGGGCTGTTAATGGCAGGCCCCGCTGTAGGCAGAGCATTGTGTTACGAGTGCGTTGAAAAGCTCGCGCAAGTTTTACTGGGCATATGGTACACTTCTGCCCTTGCAGAAGACTGGTGAAGGGACCTCCCTCTCTCCAGGACCTTCTCACGTAGCCCTGGGAGTGAGCAGCACCAGTAATACAGGACAGGGCTAAGGGCTGTTGGAGAATGCCCCAAGCCATTGCGGTGAAGAATAGCAGTTTTGGGTGTCAGGCACTTGGTAGGTATCAGGCACTGTTGTAACCATTGCCATTTATACGTGGAGAGACTGAAGCATAGGGAGGTTAGTCCCTAACTCAGTGTGGCAGTGCGGTCACTTGGAGTCAGGTCTGTCAGAGCCCCACCTCTGACCACTGGCTGGGGTGGTCCTGGGCCAGGAAACCTCCCTAAGCTTCGGTTCTGTCCTGTGTAAATGTAAGGGTGGCCACGTCAGAGTCGGGAGGCCAAAAGCAGACTCTGCATGTCACCTGTTTAGTGCTTTGCACAAAGGAAGTCCCAGGTAAATGATGGCTGTCCGTGCGGCCACCCGCCTCTGTGGGGGCAGTTGCCCTGCAGAGCAGCCACAGCAGCAAACGGATCCTGAGGATCCCAGCCGGGGAACCCATCAGAAAACCCAAGCTGTCCTAGGTTTCTACCCAGATGAGAATACCCCTCTCCCAGCCTCTAATCAAAGGTGTCTTTTTAAACAAATGCCCCTCAGAAGCCATTAAGGAAATCCTTTAGGAAATTTAGAATATGTATAGACTTTTTTTTCAAGCCTTCAATTTACATAAAGTTCGCCACCCAGGAAAAAATGCCCGAGTCAGATAGAGAGCAAGAGGCGGTAGATGTGTTGTTGTGTGGGGTTAACGTGGGCTTTCCAGGCCTTGCTGAAGCAGAACTGCCTGAATGATTGCCTCTCTCTGCATAACACTCAAATCCTAATGGCAACAACATGAAATAATATCTCACTGGGTAACTATTTACATTTTTTTTTTTTACAAGCTGTAAGAACTCTGAAAAGTCTGCCGCACAGAGAACTTGGTTTTCCTCTCTGGCGCTTAATATCTTTCTGCGGCTGGCAATTACTGCCTTGGCCAGGAGCCCTGATGTAGTGCACTAAGGCTCAGGGCACACGGACCCACTTCCTCGTCTGGCCCATCTCCGGGGCTTCAGACACAGCCCAGGGGTGGGAGATGTCCAGAGCGGTCTGAGAAGCAACGGGGTTAAAGTAAGAACCGCTGGCCTTCGGGGAGCCCGCTCAAAGTAACTCCCTCTTTATTATCACCCTTATCGCCTGGCATTTGCCATTGTGTGTTTACTTGTCCATTCTTCCCCTGGACTGCTCATGCTTCTGGATTGTCCTCATCCTTTGTATTCTTACTGCCTAATATGGGTGTTAACTGTCGTCCCAGTTGCCAACACTGGGAGGCGAGCATTGATGCCAGCATTTGGCACACATTATCTCATTTAGTCCTATCACAGAGTTTGGTAGGCCCTGTCATTAGGAGGTGGGGGCCTATTGACACCCCCATTCAGAGGGGAGGAAGTGGAGGCCCAGTGGGGTTAAGTGACTTGCCCAAGGTCCTGGCTGATAAAAGGTAGGGCTGGGATGCAAATCCAGGCAGTGTGAATGCCCTAAATGCCCAGTGAATGTTTGCTGATGAATGAAAACAGGAATGTTACACATGGATGGCTATTTATTTATATTTCACCTTTCCATGGTCCCCAAAAGATTCAAGGTGGATGACTTTGTATTTTTCAAAATGGGAGCTCTAAAAACATGTCGCAGTGTCTTTTCCCAGATACATGTTTGTGTTCATCATTTCACAATTTTCTGAGGTATTTGGGCAGGTGTTTTTAATCCCTTTTGACAGATGAAGCATTGGGCTCTGCGAGCTTATGGGGGAGTCTGAGGTCCCACAGCGATCCGCTGGCAGAGGCCTTCCTTTCTCCCTCCCTCATTCTCCCATCTCCCAGCCCATTGCCATGTGGCTGGGGAGGTAATTCCTAGTTAAAAAAGAAGGAGGAATTAACTACTTTTCCTTCCCCTAGAATTTCCTTTGGAGATGTGGGGGGAAGGAATGGACAAAAGGCTCTGCAGGCTGAAGCTTATCTTCAAGCCCTGGTGTTTGATCTGGGTCCTTGAGCAGGGTGCTTTGAAGAAATGGTTTCGTTTATGTCCTATCAGCCCCCAGGGAGATAGGCAGGGCTGGTCTGGGAGAGGCGAGATGCTGTAGGTGAGCTTGTGAAGCTCTGCTCCCTGCCTCTGCCCCACCCCATATATCAGCCTTAGCCCAGGGCATTCACCCTTGACCACTTTATTCCTTTGGGCCTGCAGTTCTTAAAGATTCCTCTTTTAAGTTGCAAATACTTCTGTGAGGAATCCTGCCTGCAGTCATTAGCTAACACCTCAGCTGTGATTAGCAGTCAGTGAGTCTGTCACTGAGGGTAATAATAATGTTTATTGAGCACTTACCCTGTGCCAGAGGCTGTTCTGAGCTGCTCACATATAATAATGCATTTATTTCTCACAACAAACTGTGGAGGGGACTCTGCTGTGAGGCCTGTTCGATAAGCAAAGCCCTGAGGCCCTGAGAGGTTAAGTAACTTGCCCAAGTTACACAGCCAGAAAGTGGCTCAGTCCAAGAAGTGGTTTCCTAAGCCAATCTTCTGAGAAGCACTTGAGGGAGAGGCTACCGCAGGAACAGAACAGCAGGAGAAGCTGAAAACCAATGGCTTTCTTCGTTTTTCAGAGCCCTGGGCTTCTGAATCAGGATTTTCCTTTCATCCAGAGGAAGGAGAATACTGTAGGCAGAAAATTGAGGCAGGGAAGGAAGCAGAAGCACACTCATTCAGTAATTGACCTGGAGTTCATTCATTCCATTACTCCTAATGGCCACTTGATAGGTGCAGGCCCCAGGAAGTGCACAGGTAGTAAGGACCAGGCAGGCTAGTGAGTCCAGGCCTCCAGCCCCTCTGGTGTGCACTTCCCACAGTTCCTGGAAGGCAGGGCAGCTCTTCCCTTTGGGCATCTGTGTGCTTCATTTGCAGATTAGAAAAAAAAAGTCAGGAGACCCAAACTTAAATTCTACTTAGTACCCGGTGTTCTTAAGTGCATTTACTCAAAGTTAAATTTGATCCCACTAACACTCACTGCTGCTTTCTGGGTGCCTGTGTAGTCCATGCTATATGTGTTCATACTCTGTTTCTTATCTGGGTATGTGGGGAGTCCAGGAGTAGAGGGAAAGGCCCTGAAACGGAAGTGGGGGCCATGCTTACGCAAACAGCTGCCCCCACGCACTGAGCTTCCCCTGGCTGGAACCAACTGGTGCCCCTGGGCCTCCAGAAGACCTTGGTGGGTGGCAGACTGGAGTATCTCAGTTGCACAGGATGGTGTCACACCTGCTTCTGACCCTTCTGTAGGCTCCAGCCATGAAGGTGATGATGTTTCCATGATCCCCCACTTCTGGTGGATAAGCCTCTAAGCTTGCCCTAAGCAGGAGCCTTTTAGGCTGGGCTTCAAACCACCTGGGATGTGCAGTTCTGAACTCATTTCAGCAAATGCAATTAGAAAAGGGGAGAGCTGCTCAGGCAGTGGCTCAATTATCACTGGTTGTATTTGATAAAACCAAATTCCAAGATGTCAGAGCAATTTCGAGGAGCGTTTATTTCTGTGGCCCTCTGCCAGCCTCTGCTCAGAGAAGGAAACCTGAGAGGTGGGGTCCCAACCAGCTCTACTGCTGCAAGTATCCAAGTATAGTGGTCTATTCAGAGCAGGGATTTACATAACCAGTCCCCTTTAAAAGTGATATAAATTATTTTTAGTTAATGAAGAATGAATTTATTTATTTATGTTCAAGTGCATTCCTGTAGCGCCAGATTCCAAAGCTGTGAGAATGGACAGTGAGAAAACCTCCCTGTAGGTATGTAAGCTCCCTCCCTGAGGCATCAATGCTATGAGTTTATTGTCCATCCTTCCACAGCTATTTTGTACATGAATTAGCAAATACATATATATTCTTTCCCTCTTTTATACACAAATGGTGGCATACAAACTTATGCCATTGCTTTGAAAGAATTAATATATTTTGGGGATGGTATTATGGGGTTCTGTTTTATTTATTTGTTTTTTCATGTTCACCCCATCATTACATGTACAAAGATTTCTGCTTTTACACGGTTCTTCTAACTGGTTCCTTACTGGTGGACATTCAGACCGCTTCATGTATATCATTTTCCATGTGTGCTACTCTAATTGTAGGATGGATTTCCTAGGAGTAGAATTGCTGGGTCAAAAGCTATCTGCATTCAAAACAAACCCCTTTAAGAAGGGGGATAGGACAGCCTTGGAGTAAACTGAGAGTGCAGCTGGGGAACTCAGGCAAGGAAACAGGGAGACACCCTGGGACCTTCTGGTCACACTCATGTGGAGAACTTGGAAGGCTTACTAAGAAGAGGTTCCTTTTCCATCTTTGGATTTAAGAAAACATGCCTGCTTTTCTCTCTTCTTCCCCCCCTTGCCACCATCTCCCTCATTTAGTAGAAAAAGAAGGAGAGAAATATTCAAGTCTGGCCTAAAAGAATCCAATCTACTGACAGACACCTATTTTAATTTAGCAAACTTCCCAATAAGTGAGCCTAACATGGACTCGGATTATCTAGACTTTTTTTTGTTCATGCTCAGTAAAAGGCAGAGGTTTGCATCCAGGACGGTACATAAAATGGTTTTGGTGGTGGTAGAGGTTCGTCTCCAGTCCTAGCTGTGAATTTCCAGAACGAGGCCTGTGCAGGTCTGGATGGCCTCACCTCACGGAATCAATCATTAATCAATAATTGTTGGTAGAGTGCTCACCAAGGCGGGTGTCTTCATTTTGGTCTTGTTTTTATTTTTGAACAGGTACTGCCTGCAGAATTCAAAAGTACAAAAGGGCACGTTCAGATGATTTCTCAACAAGGGTTGAGACGATGAGTTTTCTGTTTTGTCAACCATTTGCCAAGCGTTCCCCGGGTGTACAGACAGGTGTCCCTTCTCGTGGCAGAGCCAGGCAGCTCCAGCCTCGCTTTTGCCCCCTTGCTTTCCATGCCACTCCTGGGCCTCTTTGGGCTACAGTCAAAGCTCACTTTTTGTTAGCAACCTTGACTTTGTGACACCAGGAAGAACCAAAGGGGGACTGGGCAGTGTTGAGGGTTCATGAAATAAGGATAAATTTACCTTCCAGGTTGTCTAAAGTAGAATTCCACTGTCCTGAAGCACCTTCTTCAGATCCCCTGAGGCCCCCTTGTCTCCCAGGGCCTGTCATTGCTAAGTTCAACGCAGCTGCTTTCTGCCAGACTGCCTTTGTTTTGCTCATTATTTCCTTAAATAAATAAATCAATAAATTGGTAAAAAAAAAAAAAATTCAAGCCAGAAAAATGATAGTAGTTACACCACAAAGAGATTGTGTCCTTTTGCTTACATTTTTTTCCCTGTTCATCAGGCCTGAAGGGGCTCACAGGCCCCTCTCCTCTCTAAGCTGGGTGAATTTTCACCACTGCAGTCAAAATGCATAATGCCAATCTTATTTATGACAGGAGACATGTTTTAAAACAGTTGTTTTAAAACAACTGACAGAGATGCAAAATGGGAAATGACAAGAAAGTGAGATTTTTGGTAGGGAGGGCAGGGTGAGGAGGGGAAATAGGATGCTGGCAAAGGAGAATGGTGTTTTCCTTATTAAAAGTTGGAATTCATCCTTTATTCCTGGAGCAAATCAAGAAAAGCATCCCTGAGGAAAGCTGGGGAAGGGACATTGCGTAATGACAGTACTCAGAGGCCAGAGCAATAGGTGCTCTGGGGCTGCTTCTTATGGGACCGTCTCGAAAGGCTATGCTGTATGAACACTTAGAGGCCATACAGGGGCAAGAAGAACAGCGACCTCCCCTGTGCGATGTCCCCAGGCAACTCCACAATATCTATGAGGCGCCCGATCTCTGCCCTTGACAGATGCTTCCCGTCTGGCCAAGATTCCAGGCTGGGCCCTCTCAGAACAGCAGGAGCCCAGTAAAGGCTGTGCTACAGATTTCTCATTCCCTGTGGGCATAGGGGAGAGAAAAACAATTTTCTCATCTGTGTTTAGGAGTCTTTCCTACAGCCAACAACTGGAATTTATAATCTGCTTCTTATAGCTGTTCCTGCCTACAAGTCTGGAGGGACAGTGACAGAAGATGAGACTTCCCTGATCTTTAGAAGAGGAGAAACAGAGGGCAAAAATCAAGAACAAAAAAGGGAAAGTCAGAAAAAGGGAAAGGGACTTGGACGGGAAAGGAGCAACGGTCTCTGCTGTGACAGTGGGTTTTAAAGAAGTCTCCGGAGGGGCTGACAGGACCCAGCGCATGGAAAGGAGTTGGAGTTCTCTTGCCACATCTTTTTAGAAGCCTTGTTTTTTTATTCGTGGTTTGGGAACCTGCAGCAGCGGTGGCTCCACTTTAAGATCTTTGACTTTTTCTCCTTGATTTCTGGACATGATCATGTTGATATAGGACTTGGTGGATCAATTCAACCAGCTCATCTCTTAGATGGGCAGTGACACAGCCAGGTCTGCAGGGCCTTGCACCCAGGGGCCCACTTATACCCTGTGGTGGGGCTGGGCTGCCTCTTTGACTCAACCTTCAGGTCAGACTGTGCAGGATGGGTAGTTAAAGCATTTAGTCAACTTCCTCCTTGGGGACGTGAATTCAGACCGTTTGAGAGCACACCCACCCCCTCAACAATCCTGCAAGCAAAGCAGGATGTTAGTTTCTCAGATCTCAGTATGTTTTGCCAAATAAGAGAGCGTTAATACCCGCTGCCTCCCCACTCTGCATGAATTGGATTACTTAAAGCATCTTTTTGGAGACATCAGCAGTTTAATAGAGGCAATAAGTCAGGGCTGCCCTTGTGTTTTATTTTTCTGCCAGTATTTACTTAATTAAAGAATGCAAATTAAAACACCTTAATTTATATAATATCAATACAGCGCCTTAAAACATTTGGCATGACTACTCTGGCACGTCCCTTACATAAACTCGTCAGAGCAGCGCTAATAAAAATGAAAAAGGTTGTAAATCAAATTTAATTTATTCATCTTCTGTTTGGTACAAAAGCATATGCCAAATTCAAGTTATTTATGAGCGCGTCATAACAATAGGCCTTTTGGTTGGTCGCAAATGACAAAAAAGCGTTTTCCAAGGGATGCGAGTTTTGATTTTGAAATGTCTCTAGATGCAGCTATTTTCTGGGCTCTGATCTCTATAATTTATAATTTTGCACCCATATCGCCAGAACAAAATAGATTTAGATATTGGAAAGCGTATCGAGCCTAAAAAAAACGTGGCAATATCTGCTCAAAAAGGGACCATCTGTATGTAGACTGACATATACACTATAGGTTTTATGGAGCGTGAGTCTTCAGGTGAGATAAAAGGTCGGTGATTTGTATCAGATTTCTAGAATGTTCCATTAAGAGGATTATCACGCAGGAGGCTCCCATACAGACAGTGTCGGAAGGGATTTGTTGTGCAGCTGCTTTCTGGGAAGCTTGGAGATGAACTCCACGTACATGAGTAAATACTCAAACACCCATTTTCATCTCTCCTGTCCTTTGCTGATTTATCTTCCTTTGTCTGGTGGATCTGAGCATAGAGTACATTTTATTCAGACCTGGAGGAAGAACTTTAGGCTCCACTCAGGGGGTACAGAGGGATGGCAGGCTGTCCTCCCATGGCAAAGCTCCCTAATGCAATTGTCCTTTTCAAACTCCCTTCTTTGCTCAGCTTTGAGCTTCATCCTGTTACTCAAACAGGTGTCAGGGCATGTGGGAGAGTTGGGAGAGGTTTTGGAAAAACACTGTCCACCCTTATCCAGTCCTGAAAGACCCAAGCAAATTCACAAATCCAACTCTCTTGCCAGCCCGTGGCCTCCCTCCTGGGGAGGAAAAACTCAGGACAATACTCTGCCCTATTTTATTCATTTTCTTTTAATGTGAGCATCATTAGCTTGGCGGAAGAGGTAGACAACTGTGGTTCCTCACTTGGGGAAAGGATGGGCAGAGGTGGCAACTAGCGACTTTCTGTGACCTTGACAGCCAGGGGTCTTGGGCTGGCACTAGGGCTGTGGGGAGACTACAGCAAACCTCAAATAAGATACATTCTGGTGGTTTCCTTTTTGATATTAAAAACAGTACTATACATTGCACATTGGTTCCATTTAGTGTGATGGGATGCCCTCCCTTGCCTCAGACTCACTGCGACAGTGAGCTAGAAACTCTAGTCTTTAAAGTAGATGCTCCTTCTTGGGGGGTACCAAGCGGAGCTAGAGAAGGTCCTAGAAAAGTTAACTTCCCCTAGCCTCCATGCCCTCCCAAGCTCCCCCTACCCTTTCCATCTTGTAGTTTCTCACTGGGTGAAGGAAAAAGAGAGTCTGTTGTGGTGGACTACCCAGACTGAGTGACAGGCTGAGCCCTCTGTGTTCTGTCAGGACACATGGCATCAGTCTCTCTGTGGTTGGGTCGGAGGGAGCACTGTGGGTGGTTCCTAGAGGCGTCCACGCAGAGCCTATATACATCTCCATGTGTGATCATGGGCACACTCGTTCTCACTTTTTCTTACTACATGTCATCTTTAAAAGGAAAACCTTGCCTTTATATTTATTTGTACCCTTCCCACCTCCAAAAAAGATTGGAAGTGGCTTACAATTCAAAACGCAGATACAGTAAAACCTGGAGCCATTAGCAGAAAAGTAACCAGATCAGAGCCAAGTACAAAGGAGGAGGGGAAGGAAGAAGCAGAGTAATTATACCAGACAGGGAAATATTTAGATTAAGGAAAACTAATGCAATTCAGAACGGAACCCAGCTCCCAACTCCCAGGTAGCTTGGCAGGCGGCTGCCAGCTATTCGGAGAACTATAGGCTATTGCACCTCAAAGGCAGGTTTAAATTCCTCCTGAGGGCTCACTGACTCTCAGAGCTTGGTGAAGCTAGTTCAGCTCTCCGTTTCCTCATCTGTGCAGTGAGGATTAACTCAAGTCATCACGGAGTGCTTGAGGAAATGCAATTCAACAGCAATGAGAGCAGCTCTTACTTAGCCTGTGCCATGAATAGCTACTCTTCTAAGTCTTTTACACAGACACAGTTCATCAATTGTAAGTTGCATTTTTCCACGTTCTTAACCTCTCTGGCACTGATTAAAAAAAAAGCATTGTATCACATTGTTTTGCAGCTTTTCTTTCTTTTTTTGTTGGACCTAAAATAATGGTGCACTGAAGATTAGATGAACTATATTATTAACTCCTTTAAGCCTCCCAATAACTCTATGAGGTAGGTGCTATTTTTGCCCCATTTTACAGGAGAGGAAACTGGGGTATTGAAAATGTAAATGACTTGTCCAAGGGTTATAGCTGAGAATGTGACCCTAGGCTGTTTGACTTTACCACTAGACTAATACTGCCTTTCAACAACTATTTCAGCAACAATTATTTCAAATTTCACTAACAAAAATTTCATTCTTGGGCACTGGGGATATAAAATAAAAAGGCACATACTTGCCAAAGGATCGGACTCCAGTGAGGGGGACAACATGTAAACAAACCATATCTTGGGGCATTGAATTAATGGAAATATACCCGAGGCATTGAGGTAGAGGAGGGGGAGATGATCTGTTTTTCTGAAGCCTCTGTCCTAGGCTGAGCTCAGTACTAAAAACTACTCCTCCAGCAGGTCAGGAGGGACCTGTGTCTTCTTGGCTTTGAGAGGAGTCTATTGGGTGGACCTTGAATGACAGCCAAGGAACAACCTCAGTGGTCAAGTTCCAGCAGCAGAGAACAAGAGCACAGGTACTTCCTCTATGGCCATTTCCTGTATGGGCACAGAGGAGAGCTGGGACAGAGATCTTACGGAAGCACCGTGTTCTCAGGCAAGGTTGGGGTAGAGACAAAGAGAGACGTTTGGTCTCCTAAGGTTAGCGCTGGAGGTTCTGTCCCTGGTCATTCAAACCAGGAGGGTGGGGAGTCAGGGGAAGACCGAAAAGGGGGCAAAGAGGGAAGGGAAACAGGAATAAGCCACCTGTTTGGAGAAAGAAAATGCAATTTCAAAAGGGGTGGGACAGTAGCCTTTGGGCCGCAGTGAGGGCCTGGGAACGAAGGAGCAGATCTGGAGGGAGGATGCCTGTGTCTGAGACCTGATTGTGCTTCTTGGGAGCACGCTATTCTTTGAGCCTCCATTTGATCATTTAAATAACGGGCATAACAACATTGCACTCAGTACTGCACATGGTTAAGAGAGCAACCAAGATAACACAGGTGGAAGGACTTCGCAGACTAGAGAATGCTGTGCAAATGTGAGCTATGGGGGTTGTCTTCGTGGCCAGGAGCCTGCTCTTTCCTTTCCTTCCTTGCTGTATGAGCTGGGACGAGTTACTAAGGGGGAAAAAGAGAACAGCACACGGCGTGGGGCTTGCCCACAGTCTCAGGCAGTCCTTAAAGCAGCCTGACATACTTGAAGCTCCTCCTGGTTGGGGGTCCCACTGACCTAGTGAGAAAGTGTGGGTGTTGCAGGCCCTGCACTAGAGTTCAGGGACTCTGCCCCATGGGTGGGGATGGCGTCCTAGCCTTCATCACTCACTGCCCCCACCCTGTGGGCCTCAGCCAGCAGCAAATGTCTGGACACTGAGAGCTTTGGGCTTATCTTCTCCCATCAACAAAGAAAGCTCAGCAGCCAATAAATCAGGATTTAACAAACCAATAAACAAAACCAAAGCGAATCCATTGCACCAGAACTTCACTGATAAAGATTATTTTCTAAAATTTCAAGCCCTATAGTATTAAAGCTTCTCCTGGACCAAACAAGAGTGGGGTGGAATCCCACTGGCATTAACCACGGGTTGGCTGGGACCCAGTGAGGTTGGCCAGGGTGCTGCCTACAGGAGGGAGAGGCCCTGAGGGCCTGGACCCCAAGTCCAAGGGCTCCCGCTCTGAAGGCCTTCCAGCCCAGCCTGGGAGCGGGTGGGCGCTGTCCCAGAGGAGCTGGGGACTGGTGTTAACAGACCACTAGGCGAGAGCAGAAGCTGACCCCGCCTTCTGCGGCCTTGCCAGAGGGAGAAGGAAGGAGGAAGAGGCCTGCCAGGAAGGGTAAAGCAAAAGCAAAGGCTTGCAGGGCGAGGCGTGAGGACAAGGAGGGGAAAGTGTACGGAAGAGGGCTGGGCCAGCCAGAGAGGGGGTGCCCCCCCAGGAAGGCCTGGCAGCCCCACTGAGCACCCCCAGGCCTCTCCCCCTGTCCATCCTCACCCTTTTGGGAGACTCAGGCCTTCCGAGCAGGGCCTGCCTTCCTTGGCAGCAGACAAAAGGCCATTTCTGAGTTACACAGAAAATGTGTTACTTTGTCAGAGGGCCGGGAAAGGCTGCCCGGCCCAACGTGCAGGGCCGAGCGGGTGTGGGCAGAGGGGGGTTGTCAGTCACAGGAACCCTTGGTGAAAGGGGCCCCTTGTCAACTTCCCCTGCCTTTGAAGTGACTGGGATGGAGGTGCTCAATTAAAAGCCCATCAGTCTGTAAGTAAATCAACTGCCTATCAGGCCTGTCACATCAAACAAACGATTATTACCCCAGCCCGCCCACCCCATTAATCTGGCTGTTCCTTCTTGACGGCCCAGGGTCAGGTCTCCGTAAATCCTGTACTGGATCGCAGCCACCTGGATTGGGATGAAAGCCCCGGAGCAGCCCGAGGCTGGCTCCGGCGTTTCCCAGCGGCCCGGAGGGCGGAGGGGACCCCGAAGGGCAGCGAAGGGGTGCAGACGGGGCGACGGGAAGAGGTCTGCGGCTGGACAGACACAAAGGGACAGAGACAGAAAGACACAGATCAAGAGAGCGAGCCTGAGGACATAGGCCAAGATAGAAATACCTGGAAGAGGAGACCAAAGAGGATGGGACCGGTGCCATGAGGACTCCCCGAGGATGCTAAGCATGCATAGAGGCTTCCGGAAGACGAGGAGGCGTCGGTGTGGCGTTTCCCGCACCCTGAGCTCTGAGTCTCAAGAGTCGGAGTGATCAGTTTGAGCGGCTGTTTCCTCAGCTCTCCTTCCGTGCCTGCGCAGCCCCCAGACGTCACCTTGCAGAGGAAATGTCGGTGGGGAGAATGGAGAAGCTCAGCCAGGGCTTTGCTGAGTGATAGATACTCTGTATGGGACATCAAATTATGTGATGGCCAGAATTTGATTTTCTGCTATAAAAGGATATAAACAGACAAACTGGACTGAAGTGTCAGGTCCTGATGTTCTGCTGAGCAAGTCCCTATGGAGCACTTAGTTCCAGGGCATTTATACTGGGCTCGGAGGGTTGTTTGGCAGGTTCTTTCTGCCCCTGCGATCAAGCTCTGGCTTTTTCCTATTATAGACCAGAAGGAAAGATGGGGTGAGAAGAAGAGGAGACAGGACAGCTGTATTTTGGGATGGAAGGAGGGGTTGGGTAGTGGGTGAAGGGCAGGAGGGGGTGAGGAAGGACATCTAGCTTCCAGCTTAGAAGAACAAGGCTTGCTTTTTAAGAGAGGGAAAGAACAATCTTTCCCTAAATGGCTGTCCAGAGGTGCCCTAAGGCACCGTTCACCCCGAGTGGTGATGTTTCATCTTTAATAAGGGCCACCACATGCCTTCCCTGTTACTAGAGGAATAATTCTCCTAAGGAAATAAGAGATGGAACTGGAGTAGGGGGGACTGAGGAAGGGAACTTCTTCCCTTCTCTCCAACAGGGATCTGGGTGCCCAGCCTGGAAGCCTATGGTGACTTCTCACTAGACAAAGGAAGAAAAATCCAAAGACTGAAACTGGATCTCTATCTTACAGGACACACAAAGATCAGCTCAAAATGGATTAACAACTTAATTGTAAGACCTGAAGCCATAAAACTCCTCCAAGAAGACATAAGCGGTAAACACCATGAAATCAGCTTTGGTGATGGATTTCGGATTTGACACCCAAAACAAAAGCAAAAATAAGCAACTGGGATGACATCAAACAAAAGCTTCTGCACAGCAAAGGAAACCATAACAAAATGAAAAGGCAACCTACAGAGTGGGAGAAAATACTTACAATTCTTATGTCTGACAAAGGGTTAATATCCAAAATGTAAAGACATCACATAACTCAACAGAAAAACAAGCAAACAATCTGACTGAAACATGGGCAGAGAACCTGAATAGACATTTTTCCAAAGAAGACGTACAGACGGCCACTAGACACATGAAACAGTGTTCCACATCACTGATCATTAGGGAGACACAAATCCAAACCTCACACCTATTAGAATGGCCGGTACTGAAAAGACAAGAGAGAACAAGTCTCGGCGAGGATGCAGAGCACAGGGAGCCCTCATGCACGGTTGATGGGAATGTCGATTGGTGCAGCCACTATGGAAAACAGGAAGTTTCTCAAGAATTAAAAATAGAACTGCCATATGATCCAGGAATCCCACTTCTGGATATATATTCACAGGAAATGAACACAGGATCACCAAGAGGTATGCTCATCCCATGCTCACTGCAACAGTGTTCACAACAGCCAAGATAAGGAAACAACCTGAGTGTTCATCAGTGGATAAATGGATAAAAATGTCACACACATGCATGCTGTGGAATGTTATTCAGCATGAGAGAGAAGGAAATCCTGCCATTTGTGACAACATGAATGGATCCATCTGACCCTGAGGGTATTATGCTAAGTGACATAAGTCAGACAGAGACACAAATACTGTTTGAAATCACATATGGAGTCTACAAAAGCTGAGCTCATAGAAACAGAGACTGGAATGGCAGTTAACAGGGGCCAAGGGTTGGTGGAAATGGGGAGATATTAATCAAAGAGTATAAACTTCCAGTTACAAGGTAAGTTCTGGGGAATCTAATGTACAGCATGGTGGTTACATGGTATTATATACTTGAGCACTGCTAAGAAAGTACATTTTAAACGTTCTCAGCGCAAAAAAGAAATGGTAATTATGTGATAAGATGGAGGTATTAGCTAATACTATGGTGGTGATGCATGTTGCAGTATATTAGTCTATCATCTTAAGCTTACACCCTGTTACATGCCAGTTATATCTCAGTAAAGATGGAAAAGAAAAGAAGATTCTGGAAGATACTCAGAACATCTGCATTCATCCCTGTCTTCCCCCAGATGGCATGATAAGAACTGCTCGCTGCAGATCTCAGACAGGCTGCCTCCATGACTGCCACATGCTTGGGCCAATGTACAGGGTTTCTCTCGAGCCCGCTGCCCATCACTCTGTGGTGAACTCATTCATTCCATCATCAAGAACCAGGGGCGCAGCAACATTTTCCTTATTCCTCTGAGCTGATAGGCATGTTGGCCCATCCCAAGTGTCAGGGAGGCCTTTCACAGAGAGAGGAATGGTGCACCGATACTTCACAACGTGGGAGAATTACCTATCTTTCATATTTTCATACATTCATCCAAATTTTTCATATTTTGCATTTACCAATTTACAGGTGTTTAGCATTGACAACTTACCTTTTCTAAGTCCCAGGGTTGCAACAGTGAATATGGCGGGGAAGGTCCAGGATATGTGGAAGCTTTTACAAAGAACTGGGGTGTCTGGCCTCATCTTTATTTATTTGCTTTTTATACACTAATTACACAGGTGTTTGTTAAGCACCTACTTTATCTAAGTAATATGCACCACCAGGAAGCAAGGAAGAATTAGAAACAAATCCTATCCTCTTGAAGGAGAGGCAAGACCCACACTGTGAACCGATCGAATGCATTGTTTAAAGTGGTAGGTGCCATCAGCCAGGAAAGAAGAGGAGAAAGTTCAGAGAGAAAAGAGAATTTATCCAGGTTACTTTTTTGTTAGTGAAGGTCTGGAATTAAGAAAAGTGCTAAGTGTTCATTCATGGCAACTTTTAAATCTACTCTGTAATATAGTAGTGGGCTCATTGTTCTGGGTGGTAATGATAGTGTAACACACTGTCACATCACAGCACCATCACCACCCCCCGCCCTGGGAGGCAGGTGTAGAGAACTCTGGGACTCCATTTCAGGCCTTGTCAGGAGTAGGGTATGGTTGAGAATTCCCAGAAATCAGGGATGTGTCTCTTACAAGAGCAGAGTGTACAGAGGTTAAGTGCGTGGACTCTGCAGCCAGACTACAATTCAAAACCAGCCTTCAAATGCTGGCTCTCTGCTTGCCTGCTGTGAGGCCACGGGCAAATCACTTGAACTCCCTCTGTGTGTTTCCCCATCTGTTAAATTGGGGTGATCACAGTTCTGGCCTCAGAGGGCTATGTGACAATTACCCTCATGCAAAGCATTTACAACAGAACCCCACAGACAGTCCTCACTCAATAATGCCGGTCATTATTATACAAAGTGGTCTCTTGAAGGTATGTTCAGCACAATCCTAAGCAAAAACTTATTAAATTAATGCAATTGTCTTCCTTGATCGAAATGCCCCTGAAAGTCATTTATATTAATTTTACTTTAAGAATTCTCCCAGAGTTCAGCACATGGGTTGGAACATTTGAACCATTTGTTTTTCCTAAAGTAATTCTTATTCACATATAATGTCATATGTAATACATACAAGAGAGTGTATACTTGATTATGCCAATTTAGAGTTTCTGTCCCATCACTTGGCCACTCATGCAGAAGTGAACCTTATCTTATTGTGTTTATTATCCCTTTGCTTTTTAGAAAACTTGAGAAAATTAAAGTATAACACATGTAAGAGTAAAATGCTTAAACCTTAAGTATGCAGCTTGATTAAGTTTCACGAAGGATGCAGTTTTGTAGCCACACCTAGATCAAGCTATGCCCTATTACTGGTGCTCCAGCAGCCCGCATGCCCCTTCCCTGCCAGTTCTTTCCTCACTCCCTCTGCAAGGAAACCACCTTTCTGACTTATATCACCTGAGATTAGTTTTGGAATTGTAAGTATGTATTCTTGTGTCTGCCTTTTTTCAGTCAGCACTGTATTTATGAGATCTATTCATTGTTGTTTTGTGCATTAGTTGTTCATTATTTTTCATGGTTGGGTGGTGGTCTGTTGTATGAGTAAACCTCACAATTTATTTTTTCATTCTACTATTAATGGACTTTTGTGTTTTGTCAACTTTTTTGGCTATTTTAAATAAAGCTGCCATGAACTTTCCTGTTCATGTCTTTTGGTGCATGTATGTACTCATTTCTGTTGGGTATAACAGGAGTGTAATTGCTGTGTCATGGAATATGTACATGTTATAATAAATACTTTCAAAAAATTTACTAGAGTGGTTCTAATAAATAGTCATCAGCTGTGTTGAGAGAGTCCTAGTTGCTCCACATCCTTGTCAACACTTGATATTGTTGGCTAAAACATTTTTTTAGCCATTCTGGTGTGGGTAGTGGGCTATTTCTCTTTATCTCTATTTTAGTTGTGTCCAGTAAGTTTTGATATGTTATTTTCTTTGTCATATAGTTAAAAAATATTTTCTGATCTCCATATGTGTTGCAAATATCTTCTCCCATTCTGTCATTTGCTTTTCTCTTTATTAATGATATTTTGTTGTTGACTAGAAGCTTGATATTTTAAGGTAATTTTTAAAACTTCGACTAGTAGGTTATTTAGAAAAGTATGTTCCTTAAATTCTAAATATCTGGAGATTTCCTAGTTATCTTTCTGTTTTGAGGCTCTTGCTCAATTTCACTGTCATCGAGAATATACTCTGAATGATGTCAATCCTTTAAAATATACTCAGAGAACTATGTTAAAATCTCCACCTATATCTGTGGATCAATATTTTTTCTCCCTTAGTTCTGTCAGTTCTTGCTTTATATATTTTACAGCTATGTTATTATGTGTGTACAAGTTTAGAATTGCTATATATTTCTGTTGGACCATCCCCTTCATCATTAGGACACATCATTCAGCAAAACTGCTTGCTTTAAAGTTTACTTTGTCCAATTCTTCCCTAGACACACCACCTTTCATTTGAATAATCTTTGCTTGGTGTGTCTCTTCTCATCCATCCTTTTAGTTTCAACCTTTTCCAGTTATCTGTTACTGTATAACAAAGCATCCTAAAACTTAGTGGCGTAAACCATCAAGCATTTTATCATGCTCATAGGTTTTGTGGGTAAGGAATTTGGAAAGAGCATAGTAGGGATGCCTTCTCTCTGCTCTGTGAAGCCTGGAATCATGCCTTGAAAGACTTGAATGGTGGGGGCTGGAATCA